AAGAATAAAAAGTGTAAAGTCAAATAAAAAAAATAAAAAAAACACTAGTGCTATAGTGGAAATGTTCCCATTTACATCGGTTGACAATTTATTGCTGAATCGTAACGTAATAAGGAAATTTACGAAACATAAAAGGTATGAAAGACATTTTAATATTTTAATTGTTCATTGTACTTTTTTTACATCTATAGGCAAGATGTTTAGTAATTGACTATTCCAATTTCTCAGTATTCGTAAATCGTTCCATAGCAATTAACAATTAGAAATTGAAATTAAAATTGTAATAAATTCTCGGCTTGTCTTAATTAAAAAATCGCTAAACGTAGTGTATTGAAACCACAAGCTTTATATGCAGTCGTTTTGCAAGACTCCCAAATAATTATATGTACATACTTACTTAACAGCAATGTGGGTTTGGTAGATTAAAATTAGTAGTAGAATTATGTGTTCCTAATGACGTTAATAAACGTATTTTATTTTTTATTGACATTTATACATTAATACGTGAAGCAAAAACTTTGTATCCCTTTTTACGGAAATTGCGCGGACGGAGGAGTATGAAATTTTCCACACTTATAGAGAATGTAGAGAAGAAGTGCACAATGCTAATATTTTTTTTAAATAATGCATAAAATATACATTAAATCAATAAAGAAAACATTACACACACTACAATGTATTTGACGTACACACGCATGCATACTATTTATTTATTGTCAAACTTTTGTTCTTAACGTCTGTGGTCAAATTGAGAATAGATTAAATATTGTTTGTCTTTATTAATATTTTTCTATAGTGTAGTCTTGGCGTTGAAAATACAATCATTATAGTGCAAAAACTTACAATTCCAATTAATTATAGTCGAAATTCGACTACTGCGGGACCTCTAGTTTATTTAGTCTTCTGACTCCGCAAGAGTTTCGCATTAGCGACAGTGAGCACTATAGAGTCATATTATTATGTCTATGTATATTTACCTACTCGATTTTTTATCGTGAACGCCGCGCCGCCCGTGTTTGTTCTGCGAAAACGAAGCTGCGATATCGATGCAGTAAAGATAATGTTTCCTAGGCTTGCGGCGTGCGGTCGCAGACTTGTATTTTGTGATTCAATTTACGCGGTTTACTTTCTGTGTTTCCGTAAAGTACCTTTTGAATTTCGTTGAGGTCTGCTATTTTAGTTATTAGTTTAGTCTAGAAGTGGTAAGAATTTAAATTAAATTATAGATATTAGCGGTACGCAAAGTCCTTGGCTGTGCCCTTGGTATTGCTGACGTCTACGAGCAGCGGTGACCGCTCATCATGGACCCTAAGCTCGTCTGTGTCTGGACGGGTCTTGAAGGCATTAAAAAAGATAAATTGTGTTTTAAATAATCTTAGTGTTTTTTCGATCCCATAAAAGAAATATTTTTTAAGTAAATTATCACCGTTATCCATATCCTTATTTGACGTATAAATTTTAATTAAATTAAAATAAATAAATTTGTAGTTTTGGTTTAAAACGATAGACGTATTTAGATTATTTCAGAAAATAATCATAACTATTATCACTCAAATGATTAAAAGTAATCTTAGGAATTCTTTAATAAGGTAATTCCTCTATAGGCTCTGTTTAAAAATAAATTACACAATAAAAAAATTAACGTAATTTTTATGCAAAGGAGAATAAATTAAAACTGTTTAAAAAATTCGTAATTTAATTTACATAATGAATATTTAAAATTGAAATTGCAAGTTATTATTCTTAACTAATCTCAAATGCTTTGTTTTACTAGTTTGTTGTAAAAAGGCTCATCGTCCAGGTATTATAATATATTAGTTGTTAAATAAGAAATTTACTTCATTTTAATCTTGAACAAAGAGCAAAAAATTTAATATTTGCGTAGCTGATAAAAATATCCTTACAACAATGGTTTCATAAATAACTTTTGTTATTTATGAAATTTCATAAATAACTTTTGTTATTTATGAAATCGTATATTACTTTACTAACAATAAAAAAAATTCAATTGTTACATACTTTTTTTTATGTTGACGTTAAAACACGATTTTATAATCATTGAAATCTATGAAGCAACGGAAGTCAAATCTACGTGTGAACTTCTTTTTTGTTCATTGCCTCATCAAATTATTTTGTATCTAAATTACATGCTAATGTTGAAGCTTTAAAATCAACAAGAACTGACGTAGTTCTAGAATTTTTTTAAGTTCTTAAACTGGCCTTCAAACTCACTGTCTACTCGGTGTTAGCGCTGTAATTTGTAATTATTTTTTCCCTACCTATCCCCTAAGGATCTATTCTAGCTACGCCCGGACGCGGTTTTTTTTTTCCTACCTAAGCTGATAGCCTTGAGAGGATATGTCAGCGTAACCGGGCGAGTAGGTGAGCTTACACGGAGCTCAAACTGGGTGTGTTGCTAACACTGGCTCTAGCAAGAGCAGTGCTTCTCAGAATCTACCACCGGATCGGTAACGCGACCCACTGAGAAGATCCGGCGAGAAATTCAGTGGGCTGGGGTTTTGTAGCATCTACAGTTTTACTTAACGCCGCTAGCATTGAGCTCGTCCCTTCTACTGATATACGGCAACAAAAATGTTTCTTCGTTCGTGATTACGAAAACTGTTAAGTATTTAAAACCTCGTAAATTATTTAATGACAATAAAAAAAACGCAAATTTACTCGTAAAAGTAGTTTTAATTACGTTTTCTAGAATATTAGATAATTTCAAGGTGGGCGTTGAAATTTACGTATGTTTCTGGGCTCTGATACCAAACCCCGTCCTCACGAAGTTGTATTAGCCCCTAGCGAATATGTAGAGTAAAAAAAATACTTTGGTGATACCGTAGGGGCCCTGAATCGTCACAAAAGAGTACGAATTCAATTTATTATCTATACTAATATATAAATCTACAGTGGTTTTTATGGATGTTTTTTTTTTTATTGCCCTTGTAGGCTGACGAGCATACGGCCCACCTGATGGTGAGTGGTTACCGTCGCTCATAGACGTTAGCAATGCCAGGGGCAGAGCCAAGCCGCTGCCTACCGTTTAATACTCTCCACAAGCCTCGTTTGAAGAACGACATGTCATAGCGCTCGGGAAACACCGTGGAGGGGAGCTCATTCCATAGCTGGATGGTACGTGGCAAGAAAGACCACTGGAATCGCACTGTGGATGTTCCGTTATAGCTACTGAACCATGCATCCGATTGACTTGAAACTTAGTATCCATGTAGAAAACACATGTACTTAATATTAATAGATAGGCTAATATTTATATGAGTGTTGTACTCCCTACTCCCTACACCAGTTGCGGGGGCGTTCATGATGAGAATTTTTATGGGGGTGAGAAATTATAATATAATGTTAATTTTAAATGCCCAGCGAAGCGGACGGGGTACAGCTAGTAATTTAATAAAATGATTGTACATCAAATAAAATTAACAGTAAAGTAAACTGTTGAAATAATTCGTTTTTGTCTGCACGATCACGATGCTAATTAAAAGGTGCTTTAAACATTGGACAGTTTGCACAACCCTTTGATAATATGACTACGCTTAGATAATGGATGCACGTGTTTATTCTAAGATAGTTAGGCTACATTTGGTAATTCTTTCTAATGCTTTCAAACTGACTGACTTTGTTCTACAATATGAATGTCGGAATAAATTTAACAATATACTATATATGAGTCGACTATTATCAAAGCCGGCAATCTGACTTTTGGATAATTATTGGTAAATCAGAAAAACGAATTATTGATTTTGTATTCCATTGGCAGTCACAAAACTCTTCGGAACGACATCTTACATAAATAACAGGTTAACTATTAACCTTTATTTAATGCAGGTTTTGAACCGTATTCTTTGAAGGAGACGATTATATTCAAATCAATCTGTATTGACATATCAATAACATTTTTTTGTCCAAATGCACAGATTGCCACCCTTGATAATAGACGACTCATATACACTAGGTTTTTATATTATCGCACATACGGTGCGATAACGTCACTTAAGCAAATTATTTAATTTTTCAGGAGAAACGGAATGGAACCATCAACATCTTATTATATAGTTCTTCTAGACTAAAGAAATAAAAACGATAATATTTAAACTACATCAGTAAAAGCAAATATCTCGTTGATAACTATTAAAAAATGTATTTTCTCACACTCAGTTCAGTTTTAACAAAAATTGCATAAGCGTCTTTACAGCACCGTATGTGCGTTATGTTTCTTAAAAATGTTATTATGCGCAGTCTTCTTTGAACATAAACCTGTTATAGAAATAATTGAAGACATTTTTATATTAAACGTTGAAAAGTTAAATCATATTTTATAGAAGTAAATTTAAATATTTAGGTACCTACGTAAATAATATTTATATGTATATATAAAAAATAATAATAATAAATAAAATTTAACTATTACGTATTATACTACGAAAAATGCTCAATGCTATAATTTTTATATTTCTCACTGACTGTGCTTACTTAAGTAAGTTTTTATAAGCATTAATTTGGTTTAAGAAAAACTCGTTCTTGCACGCTAGTTCACGCTACATGCTTCAGGGGACGACGTTGACTGAGACGAGGGCATCTAAACACGAAATATTATAACTTGATCTTGAACCGGAATCATTTTTAGTTAGATGGTACTTAATTTTCATTAATTTCAAGAATTAAAACTATTCTTTGATCATTAATTAATTTAAGAATTCGTTATCATTATTTAAAAATATTATATTATAATTAATATGTAATATATAATAATCGTCTATCATAAATATCTAAATAATAATCGAATATCATCTAATTCGTAGCATTGTGCTCGGTTAATATTTTTATTTATTTATTTATTGCGCGTGTAGGCAGACGAACATACGGCCCACTTGATGGTGAATGGTTACCGTCGCCCATGGACTTCAGCAATGCCAGGGGCAGAGCCAAGCCGCTGCCTACCAAATGTATTTTAATTAATCGCAGTTTTCATTTTGTTACAGCCTAGCCAGATGTAGCAACGATGCAGACAGCACGCGAGTCGAGCCGACCAAAGCGGTGCAACAAAAGAAGGCATTCAAGAAAGAAATCCCTGTCTCCATCAGATCTGAAGTGTGCTCGCGGTGACACGAAAACGGATACAAAATTGAACGGCAAACGTTCGCTATCAGAGGGGTCGGTGAAAGTGAAGCATAGGAAAAGCAACATACGTCGAACTTTGACCCATCCGATCACGTGTTCGGATGATATTCACGATGTTACCATGATCGGCGCGTTCAATAAACACGTCAAAGTGGAACCGCCGCCAGAGAGCGACGAATCTCACCTTCCTCCGACCAGCAGCGACAGGGACACGGAGGACGACAGTCGAATCCAGAGACCCGTTCCGCAGAGGCCGAGATGGGATTCAGGAAGTGAAATGGACTCTTTGGTATCTACTGTTGTCAGGAGAGCATCAGCCCGAAGACGCAGAACGCCGGCAAACCTGGGTAAGTTTTGAATTAATCGAAACATTTTTAAGCTAAGTATCAATGTCAAATAATCCTCAAAATCATATACCTAAGCTTGTTAACTATTGAATATTGAAACAAATCGTTAATATATAAGCATCATATAACGTAATAATAACATTAGAACAGGTATTTATTCTAAAAGACTCGTTATAATGAATACTAAGTGAAATCTTAAGTTTGACCTATGTTTTGATAAGTATATGAACAAGATTCGGAACTATTTGGCGGGAACGCGAGGAGTGAAGTTGTGTGATTTGTTTTATTTTTTCTATTTAGTGTTTCTTCAGGTTTAAATGTGTAATAATGGTGGTTTATTAACTGTTTAATATCTGTGAAAGTGCACAAATGTGGGAAAATGAAACAAAGCTGCTGGACGTAACTTCTCGGGTTCCTCCAAAAAGTCCACTGAAAAAATCTCAGTAAATGACCACCATTTTACTGCGATTATATTTCATCCCATATCATCTCATTTCATTAAATTTCATCCCAGTTGATTAATGTCTCAAATTAATCATCTTCATTTCATTTCACTGTATATTATCATTTTTCATAAAATTAAGAATATAAAGTAAAATAAGACATGACTTAAAGGTTTTAGTTACCAGGTCATAAAATCTCTCAAAAAAAAAAAAAAAATGAACAAGATTCAAATCTTAGAATGTATTCAAATCTACATGATAATGCTACGTTTTTTTTTTTTTTTTTTTTTTTTTTTTTTATAACAATTAATATGTAATTTACTCGGGTTGTTTTTTTTTCTCTACATCCAAGGAGAACTTGTAACATATTTTTTTCCGCTATCGACAGTGCAGTGTACAAATATAATTCCAAACACACAATTTAAAATGTTTTTAACATTTATTTTTCACAAATAGTATAATCAGCATAGTGCCACAATATATTTGTTTGGATGAGTAAAGAAGTACTCTGGACTAGTATTATTTAATACACTATCTTATGCGCGGTTTTGTACGCTCATTGTTACTTAAAATTTGAATGATACAGAAATAACTACTAATAATATAGGAACAATTGATTATAACGTAATTATTTAGAACGAAACGATCTATATATATCTACGGGTATCTTGAAGAACAGGTTTTTTATGATCTATTGCCAAAGCTTCTTAAATAAAGCACCGAAAGGACAAATAACTCTACCTGATAACATTCATTTGAAAGAGCAAAATCAATAAATAGTCAACAAAATATTGTTGTTGAACTTCGAAAAAATGGGCCATTTTTTGTAAGATTAAAATGTTCGTAATTCTAAATGTACCAAAATAAAATGTCTCCGCATTGTAGATTATCTCTACTATTATTATCGGGAGAAGATATACCCAAAAACGTTTGTATAAACTAAAGTTAACCCGCACATTATTCATATAACTTAACGAAACACCGGGTTAGTTTTTTGACGAATTCAGATTGATGATTCGTGATTTAGGTACTAATATTTAAAAAAAAAAAAACATTTGTTAGTCTAAAAGTAAAACATCGTGCCAATCTAAATTATATTTAGTACAAAACAAACGTTTTGCGTAACCGAACTGCAACACAAGCTATTTACAAGTACTGACGTTAGCAAAACTATTTACCGAACGTGGTATTTTTGCGCGGCACACAGTCGCTTTTATACTGTTATTATATCCAAGATGATAATGCACGTTATTTATGTAAATGATGTTTGCAGATACTGACAACTCAAACTGGTTGTTAAATGATTTTTATTATGCACCATTTTGTGTGTTTTAACTGGCAACTGAACTACATAATTACATAAAATATTTTAAACTAAAAACGATACAACGGTAACCAAATTAAGCTACACTTTACACGTCTTAATGCCAATGAACGATTGCTTTGTCTATTCCAGACAAGAAGGATGTACAAGTAGATTACAGTTATCTGAAGAAGAAGAAGACAAAAAAATATTCTCGGAGAATTATATCGATTAAAACACATAATTATTTAGCTTTGTAATTTATTAAATTCTCAAATAACGCTAAATTGTTTAAATTTTTTATTCACTGTATTGAGAATAGTACTGCCATCTATCAGCAAAAATAAGAAAGTTAAAATCGACGCCAGTCCACAATAACGCCATCTGCTGACAAAATACTTGACTATCGCATATCTTTATAAAGTTAAGTTGACACCCACTAGATGGCGGATTACACCGTAAAAACATACTTTTACTTGGGCTTGTTTAAATCCGTGACTATGAATAATGTCTAATTAATTATAAATTAATAAAATTAATAGGATATGAAATACAAATACTTTCGTAAAGAAGTGAAAACCATGTAAACGTTAATTTACTAAAACCATTAGTATTATACCTATTTAATTGTTGAGTCTGATTATACATTTTTTAATCTTGTCTCTACTTTCTGCGGAAGACTACTTTTTTGTTTTGTGATTCAACGCCTTTTCTATTTCCAACTAAAATTCTCATTTTCGCAAAGAACTTAAATGGCTCCCTATACGCCTTCGTAGGAATACTCGAATATTATGTCTCCTATTCAATATCCTACATAAGCCCACTTCTCCCTTATATTTACGTGAGCGATTCTCTTTCATTCGTTCTCCTGATGCTCCCTGCAGGTCCAACCAACGTTCTGTTTTGTTATTCCCTTCCCACAAAACCAATTTCTATTCTCACTCCTTTACTGTGCACGCGGTCAGACTGTGGAATTCGTTGCCGGCTGACATCCGAGTTTGCAAGTCTGTTTCTGTTTTTAAATACAAGGTCAAACAATTTTATCTCTCATCAACCGAATGATCATGGTTCTTTACTCTTCGTATATACGAGTGTTACTGTGTTACTTATAGTTTTTTTTTTATTGCCTCTGTAGGCAGACGAGCATACGGCCCACCTGATGGTAAGTGGTCACCGTCGCTCATGGACGTCAGCAATGCCAGAGTCAGAGCCAAGCCGCTGCCTACCATAAAGTACTCTCCACAAGCCT